TCCAATAACATCTAGTAGGAAGACCTGAGTTTACCTTTTAACAACCCAACTAACATTTTACCCAAGCACTAAACCAAATGTCTTGGATCATTTCTTTTTTTCATTAAGATAATTTGGCGTTAATTCATAATAGTTAGGCTGCTTCTGGTAAGACTTTATGTATTCCCTTTTCTGCTCTTCTAATGTGCCAGTGTAAAGATTTCATATTCAAAATTGTATTATTTATTACTTATATTATGACTTAAAACGATAAATCTATCAAGGTTTAAAAGTTCAAGTCAATAAAATGCTGTCTATATTCCAACCACAACTTTTAAATATTCCAACCACAACTTTTAAAAAACATATTATGCCAAATGCATGATATTTTAATTCTTTGGTGATATATTGAAGAATGATATTCCAAATTATATTATTCATACAATGAATCAGTAGAGCTTAATTTTTTAAAATGCTGGAATCAAGAAAGAAATTTATTATGCTCAAAGCTCTTGGTTAATTATGCACTTTAATATAAGGGCAGGATAGCAAATCACACCTTAGTTTTTTTAACTTTAAAGACAATGAATAGGGCGCCTGGGTGGCTCAGTTGGTTAAGCGACTGCCTTCGGCTCAGGTCATGATCCCGGAGTCCCTGGATTGAGTCCCTCATCGGGCTCCCTGCTTGGTGGGGAGTCTGCTTCTCCCTCTGACCCTCCCCCCTCTCATGTGCTCTCTCTCTCATTCTCTCTCTCTCAAATAAATAAATAAAATCTTTAAAAAAAAAATAAAGACAATGAATAAGCCACTTTGTGTGAAAACTGATGTGTGTCCTCATTCAAATGCTCTACTTTTTCTTTGTGGATGCTGTCAGAGTTGTGAGGGGAGAGTAGATGTTGGCCAGATGAATGCAGACTATTCTCCACAGTTGGTTACCTGCTTAGGTACACCTGTTCCCGGAAGGATATCGGGTGACTTCCATAGGTGTGTAGGGAAAAAAAAAAAAAAGGAGTGTAGAATATTTTCTTTTCCTTGCCTGGTCATGAAACCTCAAGACAGCATAGCTGCTGGTTAAACAGGGAAGAAACATCTGCTTCTGGTGTTGCTTCCTGACCTTTTACCGCCTTTGCGCAGCTATCCTTATGTGCACATTGTGAGTATATGCTAAAGTCTCCTTTGAAGGCAACTCAGGAAGTAACTGGTTTTTGTAACATTTATGCAATAACATTTATGCAACATTATGCAACATTGATGCAATATGCAATTAGAGATGATAATACAATTAAAAGAAAAGGCAGGGAACAATACACTCCTTCATCCTTAATTTCCAAAATTGTTCCCATATTTGTTATATGGACATAAAATGAATTATCAACGTGTCACTGGAAGGCGGGAAGGGTCTAGAACATGACTTCTGCTCTGAAGGCTTTTTTTTTTTTTTTTAAATGAAACCCATAACATTGATGTTGGGTTAAAAAAAAGATGTACCAGACATAGTTCTGTTTATGAATGAACTTAGCTTCCACCTGAGGAGGTAAAATACATACATGAAAACAGCGAAGTAATTTGGGAAAACTGATAGTATGAAACATTTTACAAGGTAGATTTTATTCAAGAGTTAAATGAGTAAGTTTTATCCATTTGGGAAAGGAAAAAGTGTGGTTCAGATTTTTTGGGGTCTCTTTTAGGAAAGGTGAGCCAATGTTTATGACATATAGTGAAAGAGGCATTGAAGGGTGGGGAAAATTGTAGAAGTGTGTAGCGAGGTGAAAGCATAGAGACCTTCAGTCACCTGGTTGGTTGGTTGTGCTGGCTGATTCATGAAAGCAGGAAGTGGAAATGAAGCTAGAAAGATAAAGAAGAGCAATTTTGGAGGGTCTTGAATGCTCAACAAATTCAAACTTTATTCTATGGTCAGAATGTAATCGAAAGCTTTTGAGTAGAAGAATATATTAAAAAAAAAAAACCTGTTTTGTTTTTTCTGAATAGAAGTTTTGATGGTGGCATGCACAAATTTTTCTTCTAATTTTTGTATTATATGTTCTACAAGTGTATTTATGTCAACAGTGGAAGCAAATTAAGAAAATAATAAACATGAGAAAGCTATATTTTAGGCAAAACAGTGTGGTGATGGTATATGGGATAATTGCATATACTGATGCTGGGGAAGGTAAAACCTAAATCCCAGTCAACTCTTTGGGTTAACCACAGGCACGTCTGCATATTCCTGTTATTGCCTATGAGCCTTAAGAGTTGTTTTATGTTATAAAAGGGTTAAGAAGAAGTAGTCATCAGAAATAATAGGATCACATAATTTTTTAAAAAATAGAAAAATCTGTCATACATGCAACCAACTGACTGTATTCCACTTATAGTAAATTAGGTGTTCTAAACAGGTTTTCTACCAAAACTTATTGAAAATAGCATTTTGTTGCTATGACAACTGAGAATAGCAATTGGAAACTAGAACATTAAAGGTGAGACAGAAAAGACAGACAAATAGTTCATATTTAGCTATATGGTATTCCTTTTGAGTTTTTATAAATCCAAGGAAGAATTTGAAATTCTTGAATATTCAAAAATGAATAGTTTTTCTCCTTAAAATCATATAGATTTAGAATGTCCAGTTATATTTGCATTATATGTTGGTTATTAAATAAAATGAGTCAAGTCTCCTTCATTTCTCCTGAATCGCAAAAGCCTTCATCTATTTGAGCTATGATTGATTACTTTTGGGTAGATCCTGAACGTTTTGACCCTTAGCTAGAACATATATCTATTTATTGATTGAAATTCTGATTTTCAAAGTGTACTTTATGAATCCTAAGGGTTCCACAAAATATCTCTAGAGTTTCTTTGGAAAGAAATATGATCATTATGGCCACTTGATTTGGGTGTTTTCTATTTCTTTTAGGTATCACCTCAACACCACACTAAAAATGGCCAGTTGTGGAGCTCAGGAAAGGAGCAGGTAGCTTCATAATTCAGAAAGTTTGCAGCAATTTGATAAAAAAAATTACTAGTTTGTTTTAAAAGATTCATTTATTTGAGAGAGAGAGAGCACACGAGCAAGGGGAGGGGCAGAGGGAGAAGAGTGAATCCTCAAGGAGACTCCACGCTGAGCGCGGGGCCCACCGAGGGCTCAATCCCAGGACCCTGAGATCATGACCTGAGCTGAAATCAGGAGTTGGCTTCTTAACCGATGGAGCGACCCAGGCACTTATTCTGTAATTACTATTTGTACGCTTTTGAAAAATCTTAATTGATATCAACATTTATTGAATTCCTAATACTAGGTCCTGGGATACCATATCATGGTAACATGATATCTGCCCTAAAGGAAATTAATGTGTGCACATAAAGAGACATAAAGTACCTAACTAACTACTGGAGGAGAAGTATAATGTAATATTTTGAAAAATCAGGGCAAGAAAATATTTTTTTAGCTTCATAAAAAAGTAAAGCGTGAAAAAAATTTTTTTTCTGGCTACTAAAAAATAGATCTTATATAGGAGGTGACAGTCAACCACATGGAAAATATCAAGGTGTAGATGGACACTGTTTTGGGCAAATTAAAACTTTGCCAGGCACATCAGGACATGTGTTCACTGTACTCAGGGAAGATGTTACTGAAAGGAGTATATAGCCATGTGGAAGTAGAAAAACAAAATTTAGAATCTCTATCATTATCATCTAGGAATGTACATCTGAATTTTGGACTTGTGCATGCCCTCTCATAAAAAATACAGCTATAATGAGGATGAGTCCACATTTCTGCAGAGTAGGAAGATACATTTAAACTAAGATTCTTGAATAAGAATCTTAGCGACATGGATTACACTTGAAAATCTCCCGCCTTGCAAGTCTTTAGTGTTAGTAAAGGCAAGGGAGGTTTGGAGGGTTGGAAGCCTTCTCTGCCACAGGAGTAAGCAAGTTTGGAGGAGAGGAGGCTGTTCTTCTGTCCTTCTGTGCTGGATGAAGTTATCCAAGGTCCATCCCCACCCACCACCCTCATTCATGTAAGCAGGAAAAGAAGAGGGAGAAATTCCAAAACCTGGCTTCAGGTGAAAGTAAAAAACTTATAATTCAGAGATACATTCATTCTTTTATTTATTTGGTAAATATTTATCAGGTACCTACCGGTGGGGAATAAAACCAGCCCAAAACTCATGATCTAGTGGGAAAAGACAAACATTGAACAAGTAAACAACTATGCCCCCAGTTGTAACAATAAGTGTGAGATGTGCTCACTAAATGTTTGTTGAATGAATAACAGATGCAGTCGTAAATATAAACTGGGAGTGGGATAAGAAGGGGAAGATTTGGATTATGTGGTTAGGGAAAGTCATTCTGCAGATCTAGGCAGAGGCAGAAGGATAGTGCTGTCTCTTCCATTCTGATCATCCACACTGAACTATTAACTTGAGTTGGGGAAAACAACGTAGAGTCTGGTAGAAGATTCCATGGTCCTAGTGGCCCTCAACGTTAGAATAAGCCATGTGGAGGAATATGTTTAGGGAGAGGTTGATGTCTATGGGGGTGGGAGGGGAGATTGATTAAGGGATTAAGATATTGAGGGTCCCATTTTATTTCCAGGATTTTTTTCAAAGTCATTAGAATTACATGCTAATGAGCCGCATTGGAGATGAAACCGAATTCGCAATGATTCTCCCAGTCTTGTTTGAAGAAATTATTATCTTTTTGTAACTGTTGTATTTGACTTCATAAATATTTAAAAATCTAATCCAGTCTTCATTTTTCTGTTTCAGATTAAATGACTCCTACCTGTTAGAGAAGATAGGAAGTACTTAGCTAATACATTCATGATTTCTTGTCTCTCTGATCTTGAAAGCTCTTGAAAACTAAGGTTGCCTTATGAATCTTCGTGCCCATTCTCTAGAGAGCAATTGTATTGCATCAATTTTTTATGGAGCATGGTTAATTTATTTATTGTTGGTATAAGGTATTTGGCAATAGAAATGTACTTACTTTTATTCTTATTTTTTCCCCTTTCTGTTCAGGTTTATTTTAAAGGAGTTTCTTTGGAATGCAGAATATGTAGCCTTTATTACAGGTAAACGATCACTTTTATATGTAAAAAATTTAAGTCTAGAGAAGAAAGAGACTTCTATGGATGCTGATATCTATGAGTTATCTGACAGTATGTTCCTTGCTATTCCCCAAATTTCCATTTTGCTGTGCTGCAGTGTATACATACATTTGGCACGCAAGCCATTTACCCTGAGAAACAGTGTATGAATAAATAGCAAAGTGACAGATGTGCCTCCAGAAGGATATTTAAATTGATTTTTGTCCTAATACCTTTGTTTTCTTTTCCCCCAATTCCCTCTAACCTGATGTGTCATTCCACACACCCCAGTTTATTGCTATTATGGTTGCTTTGAGACCATTGTTTTTTAGTCACTTGATATTTTTGGAGAAATGCTGAATATTTGTGAATATCATAAGGACATATTTTATATTTTCTAGGTCTTTAGTGATTCCTTTTTCTGACAACCTTTACTTTTTAACAAAATAGAACACTTTTATAGAAAAAAATCTTGGTTCATCAAATATTCATTCATGGTTTTATGGACTCTTAGTTGGATTGTCTTTCACTCAACACCCATTTTTATTTTGCTTTGTTTGAATTTTCCATTTATGTGGCATTTGTGATATGTTGATCTGTTACTCAGAGGACCAAAGCAGATTTTCCAGGACTCTTAGTTTCTGATTTATTTGGAAATCAAATAAGAAAGTGTACCCATTCATTATAAATTGACCATAGTTTTTTTTTTTAAGATTTTATTTATTTTTATTTGAGAGAGAGAGAGAGAGCATGCTAGTGGGGGAAGGGGCAGAGGGAGAGGGAGAGAGAATCTCAACAGACTCCCGGCGGAGCATGGAACCTGACACTGGGCTCCATCCCAGGACTCTGAGATCATGACCTGAGCTGAAATCAAGAGTCCGACGCTCAACCAGCTAAGCCACCCAGACGCCCCTATACTCTTTTTTATAGAAAGAAAGAAAGAAAGAAAGGAAGGAAGGAAGGAAGGAAGGAAGGAAGGAAGGAAGGAAGGAAAGAAAGAAAGAAAAGGAAAGAAGGAAGAAAAGGAGGGAAGAAAGGAAGGAGGGAGGAGGAAGACAAAAAAGGGAAGAAAATTGTTAGTCTTTCTTAATTTTAAAGAAATAGAACTTTATATAAAGCTGAAAAGGACTTTAGAAATAATATAGCTTAGTGATTTCCAGCTTCTCTGAGTATGAAGCCCTAATTTTAACATACATATTTTTCTAGGACCCCACATAACAACTGTTCTTCCAACAAATATTAATAAATCTGTGGACAAAAGTTTTAGGAATTTAGTGACATTTAAAAATCCAATTTTCATCCATATACATTTGAAAAATTAGTGCATTTATGCAGATAAGACTTACTTTGGCTGGAGATAATTTAGTACACATGAAGATTAAGATTTGAAAAATTTGTGAAATAACAGCATTTCTGGAGCAGAATGCCATCCAGTCAGGAAGCATGAACTTCTCCAACTCATTCTTTTTATATTTTAAAAGTGAAAACTAAAAAAAATGAAGAAACTTGCCCAAAATTATATTAACTGAAAATTTAGATTTATGATTCTGCTAGCTAAGCAGTTTTTCCATATCACAATACTCAATGGGTAGTTTGTCAACTAAGTACCTAGATAATTCAGGCCTGACACTTGAAGTAAGGATGACCTTAGCTTATCCTTTTTTTGGGTTTAATTATCTCACCTTTGTTTAGTTGTGTTAATGTATATTAAGGCCAGATTCAGTAATTAAGTCAAGATCAAGAAGTATTTTTTTTTTTAAGATTTTATTTATTTGACAGAGAGAGACACAGCGAGAGAGGGAACACAAGCAAGGGGAGTGGGAGAGGGAAAAGGAGGCTTCCCGAGGAGCGGGGAACCAGATACGGGGCTCGATCCCAGGACCCTGGGATCATGACCTGAGCCGAAGGCAGATGCTTAACGACTGAGCCACCCAGGCACCCCAAGATCAAGAAGTATTGGTTCATGCTAGATTGATAGCAGTGGTACCCAGCTGCATTGCTTTAAATTAATACAGAAGCACTAAAAGGAAATTTTAACTTACGGAGTTGATATTTAGTTAGACATTCACATAAATTCATATGATTTTTCAAATCCGATAAGATATACTTCCATTAATTGAATTTTACAGATATTTTTAACTCCTCATCTGAATGGTCAGAGCATGTAACAGACTTGGTGGTTCCTAAATTTAACTTGGAGTGATAGGAAAGCATGTTTTTGTAGCGTTTCCAATTCTTTATTACATTTTTAACAGCATTATGAACATTGACACTTTCTTAGATAACCCTGTCAAGGCTAAAGACTTCTATTGGAATTATAAAGAAAAGTCGAACTGGCTCTTTACTGAGGTGGGTCATGCATTCTACAGTGCAGACATATTTTGAAAAGAAAAAATAAATCACGGGGGGGAATTTGTCCAACTGCTCATTCTTGCATTTGAGCCAGTTACATATGTGCACAGATGTCAAGGTGTCATTTCTGAAGAATAGGGAGGATAAGCTTTGGATTCAATGCTCTCTTCCTGGAAATGACAACTAACTGTTAATTTAGAAAAAATAAACTGTTTTTGCTTACTGCTAAAATGGTTATATTGTAAGAGTCTTATTATTTCACTTCCAAATATTTGTTTTATGACAGCCTGGCAATATTGTTGATAGTGTGCAAGAGACTTATTAACCATCATTAAATAAAGTGTAATAGAATGAATAAATTAGTTAATATTGGATTTCAATAATATTTCAAATATATTAATTATAATAATTTTAAACATTGTAACAAATCTCCTTTGTAGACCATTGCAATGGACTGAATGTTTGTGTCCCTCCTCAATTCATATGTTGAAATCCTAGCCCCCAATGTGTGATGGTATTGGGAGGTGGGGTCTTTGGGAGGCAATTAGGTCACGAGGGTGGAGCCCTCATGAATGGGACCATGCCCCCAGAGAGCTCTGTATTTCCCTTTTCATCATGTAAGTATCTAACCAGAAGTTGGCAGTTTGCAACCCAGAAGAGGGCCCTCCCTGGAATCCTCCCATGCTGGTACCCCGATCTCTGATTTCCAGCCTCAAGAACTGTTAAGAAATAAAGTGCTGTTGTTGGTAAGTCACCTGGTCTATGATACTTTATTATAGGAGCCTGCACTAAGACAACCCTATTTGTCACTTTTTGCTCGGGAACTCATATGCATGAACCCTGCTGTGCCTGAGGCTAAAGCCACTGTATAGAGCTGACCCAGTGAGAAGCCGCTGAATGCACATCGGTGCCTGGAATTCAGACTGTCTGTCCTTGAGGCTTATTAATGGACATAAGAAACAGGTGCTTACGGGGGACTGCAGACATTTGCAAGGAAATAGAGACAGTGAAGGAGTAAGTTGTATATTTGGGACAGACAGATTCCATAGTGCACTATTAAGGGGCCTGATGTCACTTTTCAAAACTTTGGATTCCAAATATTGTGGCTTAATTGATGTTTCAGAGCCTCTGGAGACTCAGTGGTTGAATCATGCCTGAGATTTCTTTGGGACCACTCTTACTGAGATTACCTTTCTATTTTAGGTAGAGAAGAGCTACATTTTAGCTCGTTGAGTCAGTGTTGAGCTTTTTAGCTTAATCAGTTTGAAGTTCTTATTTGATTTTTTTTTTTTTATTGGGCAGAGAATCTTAACTTGCAACAGCTCTCTCTCCTGATTGCCAGTCATGTGGTCTTATCCCACCTTGTTTTTGGGGAATCTGGAGGCCAAACTCTATACATGTGCAAACATTCCTCATATAACCCTCAGTTCTCTTGGTTGCCCTTGAGGGAACTCTTATCTCCTGATTGATTTGAAAGCAGTTCTTAAATCTCTGGAACGGAAATATGTTTTCTATAAGAGAGTCACTTGTCTTTTATGATACCTTATACATGCTTGCAGGGAAAAACAAAGTCATTTCTTAAAAAAATTAATGCGCTCCCCTTTGCCAATAGTGGCTTTAAGGATTGGCTGGCTTTTTAGGTATCTGAGCCATCTGGGATATTGGGGTGTACTAATAAGCCGGAAATTACACCCCGTGCTTAGATTGTAACCCACTGGTGTTCCTTCCCAAAGATGGAACTTTTCATGACCGCTATGGGCAGAGGATGGCACCGAAAGAGAAAGGAACTCCCATTAAGAATCCGGATTCTGCAGGCATTTGGAGCACTCAGGTGATCAGCCATTGAGGATCATCATCCTCAACCTGGACAAAGGCTAGAGAATTCCTACAGAAATATGTGATTCCTCATTCCTCTATGCTAACCATGACACTGCATGCTGGCTTCCACTATAACATTTATTTTATTTTTTTAAAGATTTTATTTATTTATTTGAGAGAGAGAGAATGAGAGACAGAGAGCATGAGAGGGAGGAGGGTCAGAGGGAGAAGCAGACCCCCCGCCGAGCAGGGAGCCCGATGCGGGACTTGATCCCGGGACTCCAGGATCATGACCTGAGCCGAAGGCAGTCACTTAACCAACTGAGCCACCCAGGCGCCCCTCCACTATAACATTTATACGTGTAGTCACTATTACATGTCTTTCTCACACTGGACTGTGAACCCCTGGAGCAACGCTCTGACCACAGCCACACCCAGTGACTTGGACATGGTTTTTAGGGCTGAGCTATAGATACCTTCATTGCTTTGAGGATTTATATTTTCCCCTTCCATTCAAAAGCCGAACAGTGACTGTTTCTTTAGGACACATAGCTAGTGGTGAATCTCACAGGTACAGACCCTCTATGAGATTAACTGCCCCTGGCCCTGCAATAAATTAGTAATTTAATGGTAATAGAAGGAAAAATAAAGTGGTAGACATCATTATAGTTATTGTGGAATTCTACTTCCCTAAGTAGGCTGGACTTCATAATCCTTCAGGTCTTTCTAAGTGCTAGAATTCTTATTCTGCAAGACTTGTTCTTCCTGTAGCAGGATTTACCTTCTTTTTTTCCCAAGAAAACAGTCCAATAAAT